CATCAGAGCTAAACAACCAAAGAAAATCTGAAGCTCCTATGTTTAATGGTTTTTGAGCAATAACCATTTTTGTATGTCCAGATACCACTTTTTCAGATAAACTGGGGGTTCGGGGGGGGTGGGCACTGATTGGTGGGCCTGATGGATAGAGCTTCATCAAAGCTAAACAACAAAAGAAATCTGAAGCTCCTATGTTCAACAGTTTCTGAGTTATAAGCATTTTTGCATGTCCAGACACACACTCTTTGAATGGAGCCCCCTCCTCAAATATGGGGCCTATTGTAAAACCGTTGGCTGGTGCAGTGTAGGTTAGACTCATCTACAATCCTGCCAAATTTCATGCTGACCGGTGCAGCCAATTTTGTGGTACGGTTGACCAAAAATCTCCAGAGGGAAAAAAAAAATACAAACACAATATGACTCGCTTATGCTTCACGTGCGGGGGTCATAATAAAAGTTGACATGATTGATGGTTTTTCATTGTTTTCCTACACTAGATGGTTTTTAAAAAATCAATCCCAAAACAGCATTTACTGTATTTTGTTGTATTTTTCTTAACCTTGCTGCCAGATGTTAAGTGACTCATCTTCACATACAACTCTTGCTAAAATAAAAATAAGAAAAATTCAATAAATGACCTGATATTTATGTTCATATTGGTGAACTTTAAGCAAGAACGAAACTAGCAAAACTTGCATGAAGGTCTTAAGTGCTCAGAGTATGTGTTGAGGACAACCTTCAGCCCCTACCACGCCAAATTCTTGCTCATGTTTCAAATTAACGTAGCTATAGACTTTTTTGTTTGCTAAGCTCAACAAGCTATGGCAGCCATCTTGAATCAGGTTGACTGTAAATGTTAATCAGCTGTAGACATGAATCCAGTGATTCAATTCTGAGAATTTACAGTGGGGTGCGAAAGTTTGGGCAGCCTGGTTAATTTTCTTGATTTACCTTTATAAATCATCGAATGTTTGGATAAAAATATATCAATTAAATATATCATATAGGGGACAAACGGTGATATTTGAGAAGTGAAATGAAGTTTAAATGGTTTACAGAAAGTGTGCATTAATTGGTTAAACAAAATTAGGCAGGTGCATAAATTTGGGCACTGTTGTCATTTTATTGATTTCATAACATTTAGAACTAATTATTGGAACTCAGATTTGGTTTGGTAAGTTCAGTGACCCTTGACCTCCATACACAGGTGACTCCAGTTATGAGAAAGGGTATTTAAGGGGGACAATAGTAAGTTTTTCTCCTCTTTGCATCTTCTCTGAAGAGTTGCAGCATGGGAGTCTCAAAACAACTTTCAAATGAGCTGAAAACAAAGATTGTTCACCGCCATGGTTTAGGGGAAGGATACAGAAAGCTATCTCAGAGATTTCAGCTTTCAGTCTCCACTGTGAGAAACATTGTGAGAAAATGGAAGACCACAGGCACAGTTCAAGTCAAGGATCGAAGTGGCAGACCAAGAAAAATCTGGAATAAACAGAAGGGAAGGATGTTGAGAACAGTCAGAGTCAACCCACAGACCAGCACCAAAGACCTACAACATCATCTCGCTGCTGATGGAGTCACTGTGCATCGTTCAACTATTCTGCACACTTTACACAAGGAGATGCTGTATGGGAGAGTGATGCAGAGGAAGCCTTTCCTCCACCCACATCACAAACAGAGGCGCTTGAGGTATGCTAAAGCACATTTGGACAAGCCAGCTTCATTTTGGAATAAGGTGTTGTGGACTGATGAAACTAAAATAGTTATCTGAGCATAAAAAGGGCCAATATGCATGGAGGGAAAAGAACACAGCACTCCAAGAAAAACACCTGCTACCTACAGTAAAATTTGCTGGTGGTTCCATCGTGCTGTGGGGCTGTGTGGCCAGTACAGGGCCTGGGAATCTTGTTAAAGTTGAGGAACGTATGGATTCCAATCAATATCAGCAGATTTTGGAGACCAATGTCCAGGAATCAGTGACAAAGCTGAAGCTGCTGAAGCCAGGGCTGGATCTTCCAACAAGACAATGACCCTAAACACTGTTCAAAATCTACTAAGGCATTCATGCAGAAGAACAAGTACAACGTTCTGGAATGGTCATCTCAGTCCCCAGATCTGAATTCAATTCAATTCAATTCAGTTTATTTACAGTGGTTTGCAAAAGTATTCATACCCCTTGAACTTTTCCATATTTTGTCACATT